GCATTTGCTGCAGCCCCGGGTCACTGTGTCCAACCAAGCTTTGGGTCTGAACAAAAGAGGACAATGCCGGGAATTGCTGCTTTTAATCTCCTGATTACCGTTGGCTTAAACTTTGCCTAATAGTTGGTTTATCCTGTGCTGCACACGTGCCCAGCGCTTAACCTCGCTGAGCTTCCCCGTTTGCACAGCTGCAGCGGGGCTGCAGCCGCCTTCAATGCAGGAGGTGTCGCTGAGGGTCAGATGCCGCCTGCTCGGACATGCTCCCCAGAAAACCCCAAATTCACAATTTCTGTAATCGGTTTCCGCACAGCGAAGCTCTCACCCAGTTCGCAGTCGTGCGCGGCGGCGGGAAGGAGGGTGGGTAAAACGCGGGTCTGCCCGGATCTTGCTTCAGACCTCCCACCAGAGCCAGGCTGAGCTTTCCCAGAGCTTGGCAAGACGTTGGCAAGTCTTTATTGCAGCACTGGGTTATTCTTCTGCCGCTGCAGGTCCCCAAGCAATAGATGATGAAGCAAGCTATTGTCAGGGAAAGCTGGCCGAAGCGAAGCATCCTCTGCGGAGACGCCCATCCGCCCGAGAGCTCCTGCCTGCGGAGATTTGGCAGAGGGGCCGGTTATGCAAAGCTACTACTGAGCGTAGAGCCTATGGCTGTGAGTAGCTCCATTGACCTGGAGTAAATCTGGGGAAGCAGGCAGGTTTTTGGCCCTTTCCCAGGGCTGACGGGGAGCTGTATAGACCCACTGTCGGCACGGCCCCGCTCCCGGACAGGGCTGGTGCAGCCCCGTGCCTCCGCCGTGGTTTTCCGCTCCCCTCTTTCAAGCTGAACATTTAATAAGGGCCAGGACATGATATTAGGTGCTTTCTCTTGCTTTTTTTTTTTTTTTAAATTGAAATGCTGTGACTGCATTTTCTCGGACCCGGCTCTTCGGTTTGTCATGCCTTCCCACCAGAAACGCACAACCCGTGTTTGTATCGTATTGCAAAGAGATATTTACTAAATGAGTCTCTGCCAAGGGGTTGAGAAATATGTTTTCATTAAGAAAATTAAACTGACAAGTCCCTGGACAGTGCATTAGTCGCATATTTTTTCTTTAAGGCCAAAATGCAGCAGCTAATAATAATGATGAAATGTCCGTGCACAGCCAAATTACTAAAATCTACCCCGTGTTTTCCTGGAAAAGAATGTGGAGAGTTGGCAAACTTGGTTGTAGCTGGGTCTGTCGACTGCCGAGTACAATGCTACCACTGCAAGATAGCGAGCGGGTTGCAAGTTAAGCAACACCTTCAATCAGATGTGAGTCCCCATTTGTTATCCTTAAAGAATTTCAGCTGTATATATTATAGTAGTACTTTGGCTCTTTGTATTTATTTTAGAGGGCTATACTAAAGAACATTATAAACTCAGGCATGTCCATGCTATATGAACTCCATATGCTGAAGCTTAATTTTAAATGCCATTAAAAAAGCACTTAACATTTACAATATATCAGTCCGGCTACTTTAGCAGCTTGGATGTGCTACAGTAAATGAAATGATTGAGAAAAAGAAGAAATTCAGAAGCTAGATGTTATAAAAATCCCCGATGCAGGATGTTCGCCTGGTACGACGCAGTAACTGTCAAATAGTATCAATCTCATTTCTGGTTTTTAATCAATTCCTCCTCTTTTTTGTTTCATTTTTAAATGTCATTTTAAGGCCTAATTTAAAAAAAAAAAATCTTGGCATTCAGATTGGATTCCTTACGCAATTTTTTTCAATGTGTGAATTGGGCTGTGTATTCGCAAATTGAAATGTCCTACTGTATTTATCCAGGTGCTTACCTGTAGGAGGACAAGGTTAAGAGGAGTGCAGAGTTTATGAATGAAAATCAAATACGGACATTGGTAAACCACCCCTTTTTAGTCCCGGCTAATTACATGGTAAACATCTGGAATTTATGCAGGGCTGTTAAAAGAGTCAATTGAAATTATTTCGAACAGGGCCCATTTTGTTGACTTCTCCCTGAGCAGCGAGAAAATGGTGCTGCAGACCTGGGCCAGCTCGGCCGGGCGCGGGGGCAACGCAGGGGAGGGAGGGATAAAGGGGGGCAAAGTGGCCTTGACGTCCGATGGAGAAACAACAGCAGGATTTGGGCCCTTCTTAATTAGGGTAATTAGAATGACTCCAAGATGTAGCAATTCTCATCCTCCGTCCCCTTGCGCCAGTGGAAGGGAGAATTTTCTGTTCTGGCTAGTGGTTTGAAGGCTGTGGTGAGCCAGTTTGCTCAATTGACTTGGTTTTTTTACTGGATGAGGAGGAGGTTGGGAAGATGGAGCCAAGAAAATAGTTACTCTGAGGATGTAAAGTGCCTGATCCTGCAAATCCCGGCTCCTGATGCAGCCTCGAGGGCTCGGGAAGCCCATGGCAGTGCCCGTACCCATCAGGGTCATCTCCTTTGGATTGCAAGACCAGACCGTGATGGTATATACTGGTTTCACTGCCATAGCTTTATAAAACAGTATTCTTTAATATTGCAAAGATTCTTTAGATATGTAAGATATATCTAAACGTTCTTGAATGATACACTGGTTCATGTGACGTTCCCCGTTCAGTGTTGGTTGCTACGTGTCTGTTGAAGTCAATGGTAAATCAGTGGGACGGGCGCATTTTCAGCAGGGAGCTCTGCGGTGCTCCTGGCTTCAACAAGGTTTAACGGGCGTGCTGTGCATTTGGGAAATTCGGGAAGGCCAGAGGAGCAGTGGCTGTCCGCACCACCGCGGGGTTTAACCCTTAGTCTCCCCCCAGGCTTTACTGATCCTCAGTTTTCAGCCTCTTGAAGGGAACACAGGTTCAGCTGCTGCGTAGGAGTAGCGGTGGGACTTGGTGTCGTGGACATTGGGAACGTGTGAAGGAGAAAGCTGCGTGTGCTTAGTTTCTTCCAAAGTGTGCTCAGATCTCATGGCTTTTCGTGCACTTTCATGGCAACAGGAAATCTGCGTTTTTGAGGCTGCCGTAAGCCACGTGGAGCCTCCTGGGGTAGTGAGGGCTCCCTGTCCGAGCCTCCACTAAGGAGGGATGTGTTGACCCCCTTGTATCTCTTTCTACACCCACCTTTTCCTGGCACTGGCCCATAACCCCCCTCTATATACGCTGATCCATATTTGTGCCCCGTTTTGCACTAGCCCTGTGCAGCCCATGCTCTGGTATAAAGAGTGAGTTTAATTCAGGTGATGTATAAGCAGCAATAATGTTTTGTAGCTCATTTGTAGCATGAATTCATTACATGGTGGATCTGCCTTTTGGGGTGCCACTCCAAGTTTCCATCGGTTCCAGCACTGCTCCAGGTCGGTCGCTAACGTGTTAACCCTTTGCTTTTCCTAAGGAGGATGTTTCCTAGTTACAAGGTTAAAGTGACCGGAATGAACCCCAAGACCAAGTACATCTTGTTGATCGACATCGTCCCGGCTGACGACCACCGGTATAAATTCTGTGACAATAAATGGTAAGAGAACATTTCTGTTTGCCTTCTTTTCCATATGAAAATTGCAATTGGATCAACCATTTGCTGTGCAAACTCAGAAACCAGCATAAATACCTTCCCATGGGAGCGATGCCAACATCCCAGAGCTCTCTCTGGTGGAGCAGCAATAGATACAAGAGCCAACGGCTGGAAGTTAAAACCAGACAAATGTAAAATAAAATATCCTTAACAGGCTGGGTGATTAACTGCTGGAACAAACTGCTAATGGAGATGGTGGATTGTTCGTTTCCGAAGCGCTCAAGATTGGGTGTCTTTTCCGAGGAGATGCGTTAGGCCAAGCACAGGTTATCTGGCCGTGTGCAGGTGTAAGAGGGTAAAGCCACAGCCTGCGTTATACCAGAGGCTGGACTAGATGATCTAATGTCCATTTTGGCCTTAAAAATTAGTATCTACATCAGTCGGGAAAAGCTTTGAATTCTTCTATAGTAATGTTTTGCTTTTAGGCGATCAGCTGTAAAGCGAGACGTGGGGTGGTTTACTCAAAGCCCTGGTTCAGCCACGCTGATGCGGCAGACGAAGGGAGCAGCGATTCCCCCCGTCGCAGTCCAATGCCAGATCCAGTTTAGAGTTTTTTTCTTTTAATTCATCCTTCCTCTGGAGTTTCTTTCTCTTCTTATTCTTCCCTTCCCTGTGCCTTTGATAGTAAAGTTACCTACCTGAGAGGCAGCTATGATTTCTGCTTTCTGACGAAGGAAGCATGTTGCTTTCTCCTTCGGTTTTTACCCCAAAGGCGCCCAGCAGCCTCCCTCACGGCGACCGTTCGCTGTGCTCTGCCCAAACCCTTCCACCCGCTGCTGCCTGGTGAAAAGACGAGCAATGGAAAACTTCGTAGTCATCTTAACGGGAACGAGCCTGGTGACATCCTATAAAACCGTATTAATTTACTTGCACATGAGGGCTGCTCTACTTTTAAAAAATCCCTTTTCTGCTCGCTTTTGTCCTGGAGTGCCGCTGGGTAAGAGGAGCGGACTGAGGGCCTCTGCGGCGTGGCGGCCACTTTGTGTTTTAACCATTAAGCCCTAGATGATGGATAGTTGTTAAGTCTCTTTAATTTAGCTTTTGCCAGCCCTAGAGCTGTTTCCCCTTTTCATTTTATTGCTGCTGGAAAGTCTCTGTTGTTTTTGGTAATATTGCTTTTATTGGTGTTTTATAAGAGGAGAACAATGCACAGTAATGGGGGAGTTGCCATTAAGCGATGTCTCGTGGCTGGGTCTTGTGTCCGTGCGAGTTGGTGGTGGTGGTGTGGGGGCAAGGGGAGCTGGCAGAAGGGTGCGAGGGGCAGCACCGTGTGCCAGCACGCAGCTCCGGAGCGGGGAGCAGCCCCTTCCCTCCGGAGCTGCCGCCCGGCCAGGGGCTGCGGGAGCCCTGCATGGCTGCGGAGGGTGCACCCGCGCCGGTACCTGCTCCTGCTCGCAGGTCCCTTCTCCTGGGGAAGGGCGTGAGACCATCTCCCCTTGCAGAATGGCCTTTGAAGGCTTCGTCCTCTCCAAAAACCCAAACGAGATTTCCTCCTTGACCAACGCTGACACAATTGCCATGTAGAGACACTGCCCCGACGAAATGCCGTGGGGGAGCAGAGATGAGGTTACTCTGCCAGCCTGCCGTGCTGAAACGAGGAGCCCTGAAACCCCACGAGCAGCAGGAGCCTCTCCGAGCCCCCGTGCCCAGCGTGTCCTCCAGGGCTGGCGGGAGGGTTGCTGGGGTGAGTTCAAGGACAAAACGCTTTCCTATGTCCGGGCTGGCGACCGCTGCCGAGGTGACGCAATCTGTAACTGCTGTGTTTGCAGGATGGTGGCCGGGAAGGCAGAGCCGGCCATGCCGGGGCGGCTGTACGTGCACCCCGACTCACCTGCCACGGGAGCACACTGGATGCGGCAGCTGGTGTCCTTTCAGAAGCTAAAACTCACCAACAACCACCTGGATCCCTTTGGACATGTAAGAGAGATGTTCTGCGTGGGTTTTGGGCAGAGGTGGGCCCGCGACGCTGAATTTGTGTGTCTGGACTGGGATGCTGGTTGGGCTGTCGCAGTTAATTTAATAACGAGGAGCAACATCTATTTTGTGCTGCTGGTGCAGTTGGGTGGGGGAGAGTTTAATATCGAGGGAGGGGGGCTGCCTGCGTGCTTCCCTGCTCTTGGAAAAGCAGCCTCTGACTTGCGCAGTCGTTTTCTGCTGGATGCCACCAACCTTTTATTTTCTGCCCAGGAACTTTCCAGGCAGCGCTGTGGGATTTTCAGCCTGGCTGTTGCTGCGCGTGGTACATACAGCTCGCAGAAACAGGTTGCATAGAGTCGTTATTTTCCAAGCTGGCTTTGGCAGCCGTATAAAAGATGAAGTATTTTATTTGGAAAATCTTAATTCATGTGTATTGAGAATGCAGAAGTGGGAAGTACACAGTTATCTACCACAGTGCATTTAATAACTTAGCACAAGGGCCCTTCCAGCCTGCCAGGCAAATGAGTGCTTAGATAATGCGTATAAAAATACGGACCTGTCTGGGTTGCACTGTCCAAACTGAAAGTCACGGAAAAATAAACAAACCTTGCTGGCTGGAGGAAGGGAAGATAGAGTTTTACATCCTTTTAGGTTTAGTGCCATCGGCTCCTCCTAATACCACAGGTAAAAGAATCCACTTTGTATCATCAAATGTGGTTTTTAACCCGCCAGTCTTTTAAGCAGCAGCAGTTTGGGGAGCGAGGGGGGCTGTGACAAGGTCCTGAAGAAGGGTGCAGAGGGAGGAGGGGTGTATCTGTCTTGCTGAAAATGATCATGCATCAAGCCTCTAAAGAGCAGGTTTTCACGTGCAGTCAATTGTCCTGATGCCACCTAAAAGCCGTACAGAAAGTGCGATCCTGACACAGCTAAATCAGGCGGAGCTTTATGGGGTTGACTCGAGAGGCAGGCTGATGCTACTAGCTTAAAACGCTGTGAAAAATTCAGAATTTTTGCGGCGTTCGTAATTTTCTGGAAATTTCGAACTTCCAAAAGCAAGCGCGCCGATGCCGCCGCGGTGCCGCCGCGGTGCCGCGGCAGAGCCGGGCTCTGGCAGGGTGACACAGTGATAACCCAGCGCTGCGCAAAGCCGTCAGCAGCGCCGGGAACTGACCCTCTTCCCCAACCTGCTGACCCCAGTGAAACATGTGTGAACTTCAAAGGCTAATCAGGACCATTTAACGCTGACATTATTAATCACAGGCGATCTCGCCCCTTCACTCTTCTTTAAGGGGGAGAGTACCACGGAAATGAAATGAAAACAACTGCGTTGAGGGTTGCACAGTAAAAATTACATAAAGCCCACAAATGCCGACGTTTTGGTGTCAGCAGCTGTACCGACCTGCTTGCTTCGCACGTGGCATTTCTTTTACTCCCGTGTTTTTCTCTTGGTTAACTGTGTAGCTTAATATATGACTGTTTACGTTGTAAAATGTAAACCATAAAACACACAGGATGTTCGATGTGGCTGTAAAACAAACAGGATGTGCAGTGTTGGTTTTGCAACTATAAACGTTTGCTTTTCCTGACTTTGTCATTTTTTAACTGCAATTTTAACACTGCATTTTAACAGGGATGATTTCCCCCCGCCTTTTAATAAACAGCCTGTTTGTCCTCCCAGAAAGCTTCCCTAGAGACACAGAGGGGACCCCGGTTTGCGTTTTGGGGTGCTACCTGCAGTACGATGCAGTGACCATGCTCCAGACGAGCCCCGCTCAGTCCCCTCGCGCCACGCGAGCTGCCCTGCCTCGGACACGGCCCCGCGCGCTCTGTCTCACGCTGCTGGGAAAACGCCTGGAATAACCTGTTTTAAGCGCCCAGGTCGCCGCGTGGTTCAGGCACTGACAACCTGCCTGGCTAAATGGGATTAGCCCCTTCTCAGACAGTTCCTCGTTAGGCTTCTAAATTAATCATCCGCTTTAGAGAAGTGGTAGAGAAGTTGCACACATGGAGGAGACCTGCGCCCTGTACCAGGCGAGTGAGTTTTCCTAGCAGCTCATCCCGAAAACTGTTCTCCTGCTGTTGCAGGGGTGGCCGATGTCCCGGGGACAGGCAGCGCCTGCGAGGTGTCTGCCCGGCACGGCACAGTCCTCCCAGCTCTGCCGGCGAAGGCATTGCATTATGAATAATAACAGCTTCTCATTTCTAGGAATTTGTTCCCAGCAATTGCAAATGCTCTCTTAGAGCTCCCTAAGAAAAACAAGTCAGAAAACCCACAGGGTTTGTTTGCCTTCTCATGCTCCA